AGTTCTTTTCAAAAGAACTGAACTGATCGAACAGCTCTTTTGAACGAACTGGACGTTTTTCAAGAGCCCAGCTCTACAAACTACTTATTTTACAAATCAGTTCTTTTGAAATGAACTGTTCGGAAAAGTTCAGTTCGTTCAAAAGAAATGTTCGATAAGTTCAGTTCTTTTCAAAAGAACTGTTCAAAAAGTTCAGTTTGTTCAAAAGAACTATTTCAGCAGTTCTTTAGTTCATTTGAACGGAGTTCGTGAACTTGAGCTGGTAGACCCCTAGTTATCACACTAAAAAATTAACATTTTTTGAAAAAAATGTTATTTTCTAGAATAGAGAGTTTCCGAAAAATTGAATTTTCACCGTGAAAACTGATTATAAAGGTCATAAACTATAGTGCGTTCGATAGCGGAGACTTTGCTTTATTAAATGCGCTAGAAATCAAAAATTCGAAAAATTTGACGCAAATTGACATTTTAGGGTGGTGGGAAGCGAGAGCTTAATGGATAAACAATTTCTTCTCAAACCTTATGCAAACATTCAGCGAAACAATCCTTTACTTCTTTCACGATATGACCTTTTTTTGCGAACTGAATAAAACGAATTACAAATCGCGATAAACATGATGTGCCTTCACGTATCGATGTTCATGTTCAAAGAAAAGTAGTAGATATGAGTAAGTGTGGTTGTCGTTGGGTGAGTTAAGACCAGAGATGCCCATAGCTGCGCTGCCACCGCGGCAGCGGTATATTCTCAGCCATGACGGATATCTCTGATGGATACAAGATACATAACGATTTCTTCCCTTAGTAATATTTCTTTTTTTCTTACTACCTGAGTCGCACTTATGATTCACTTCCTTCCTTTTTGTTTCAGATCATCGTTAAACAAGTTTCATGGCTTTTGTAAAACGTCTAATGAGTCATTATCATGACATACAAAAAGATCCACCACCACTATGTTACGCAGAGCCTGAAGATCCTGAGAAAAACATGATGCATTGGACTGGGTGGATTGAAGGGCCACAAGGCTCTCCGTATGTTGGCGGCAAATTTCGCTTAACAATTGATTTTCCTGTTGAATTTCCATTTAAACCACCCGTGGTTCTTTTCATCACACCAGTCTTTCATCCAAATATCAGCAAAAAAGGCGAAATCTGTTTGGATATACTTCATTCTCAATGGTCTCCAGCGTTAACTGTACGTGGCCTTCTAATATCACTATGTTCTCTATTGACAGACCCAAATCCAGAACATGGACTTAACAAAGCTGCGCTGAAGCTCTATCAAACAGATCAGAAAAAGTATAACGAAGTATCGAGAGAATGGACAACGAAATACGCTATGAAGTATAGTAATTGAAAGTAGTGATAATGTTTTATGTTACCAAATAAACAAATTCCTTCTTTCATTTTGATTAAAGCAATTAGATACAAGCTTGTTCGGGTAAAAAAAAGTGAGCTCCAAACTGCGTAAACTCTAAATTTGGAGCTCCCTTCACGCCAGCCCATATTTTTCCATAATGTGAAATCCACGTTCTCTCAAGAGCTATCTTATGAAGGTTTCCATAGATCTTGAAGACTTATCATATTGAGGTACCCATAGATCTTCAACATCAGTTTCATAAAGGCACTCGCAGATTCTCTAGATGTATTGCGATGGGGCTCGACTTAGTGCAACACGCGAGTCCATTTATTCTGATGAATCAAAATATTGATGATAAGTCAGAGTATGGCTGATAGGAACAGTATAAGTAGTTATTTAGCATCGATTTAACTAGCATCACGGTGTAAGTATGATTGTTTGCAGTAGTGACAGCCTACTGATCATGCTATTTTGAGTGTTTAGCAACATTGCCAAGCATAACATTTAGAAAGTTTTCAGCATTTTTTCACCATGATATTTGGGCTTTACTGCGCTACACTGTCAACAATCTGTTGTGCGTATTCAAGCATGATATTCAAGCTTTTAAAGAAAGACTCAGAGATTCTCCTTACTTTATGACACGCTGTCTATTAATGTTCTCGACTAGAATTCAAAGTCTATGGAATCGTCATATTATTTGTTTTCGAAAGTGTATTCAACTGTTTGACGATTTGTCACTTAGATCTTGTTGGCGTGCTATTCACTTGTTGTTACACTAGCGCTAGAAACCTTTTGTGGCTTTCAAATTTCTGTTGCAGTGCCATTTTGTTCTTTTTGAGATCAGCTCAGGGACTATATTGGTAATCTGTTAAGATTATTTTTGGCATTGCATGTACCTTTGGTGAAGAATCACGTAGGCTTTTATAGTTCTAATTTGTGAACTTTCGAAGGTGAATATCGTTGTTGAAAGGGAGTGGGTGGGTGTGGGTAGACATGCACCAAACCCGAACGGTTTGGGTTTGGTGGGTTTGGGTATTGAGTTTGGGTTTGGGTAGAATTTGGGTATGAGTTTGGGTTTAAATTTGATTATGGCCCATGTATCTAAGCTTTTGATATGTGGCTGTTGATCAAACTCAAACTTATACCCAAACCCAAACTCAAATTCAATACTCAAAGCATTAAAAGGAAAACGGTTTACAGCTAGTGCATATTCAGTTGCGACATCAGACCAAACTAGGCATGCATCGAAGCCGAACGTTCGGGTTCGATTTCAGGGTTCGGGTTCAGATTCGGCTTTAGAGTTCGCGTTTGGGTTCGGTCTCTAGGGTCGAGTTCGAGGTCAGTTTTTGCTGCAGTCATTTTTAGTGCGCTAGTAAGAAGAAGCAGATGTCATCGAAAAGCAAAATAGTTGAGGACTTCACAACAACCAATCTAAAATAGTAGAGTAATTGATTCAAAGTTTCAGGATCTGTAAAAATGCTAAAAGTGAGCTATCTCCAGAAATATTGTATTCTGAACCGAAATTTAGGTAAAGTTAAGATCTGTTCCATGATCTCCATGCATTCAAAGAACTGCTTCAGCTATTATCCATATCATAGAGACGAATGAAAACTGAACTTTCATAATCGATGATTTGGTTCATGTTTTTACAGTAGTTTGTCATAGTCTTAGAGCTAGGGATCACAAGTTACCGTTACCGGGTAACTGTCTAGAAACAGTAAAGTGAGTGTCTACCAGGACGTGTGTGTGGGTGTAGGTAAAAGGAAAAATACCCACATCCACACCCACACCCCACCCTCACACTCACCCACACCCACACGCTCATATCCACACCCACACCCACCCCAAGTTACATAAACAAATGAATGTTGGGGTGTCCGGGCGGTTGATCGCGCCCATATAAAGAGTAACAACTTTTTCTTGTTTTAGATTGTCCAACCTTTAAATTAAGTACATGTAACTATAGCAACAAAATAAATATTTTTTTAGTTTAGATTATGTTCTACATTTGAATACATCACACGTAAGTATATCAAACAAAATATTTCTATTTTTATTTTAGATTGTGTTCAATCTTTGACTGCATCCCATGTGAGTACATTTAAAAAAATAAATATATTGTTTATTTTAGATTGTCTTCAACGTTCACTGTAAAAAAGAAGCGTAGAGTAATAAACCCAATAAGGGTTTATGATATTAACAAACCCTTTGAAATACCCTTTCATATACCTTCCAAAGAGTTCTTGAAGGAGTTTATGAAAATCATATATCCTTCCAAAGGGTTTATGAAAAGTGTAACATACGGTAAAAAGGGTATATTATTCGTTGCTCTTTCAGGGTGTGGGTGTGGGTGTGAATATCCATTATTTAGGAACAACATACTGACACCCACACTCACACCCATAATAGTACTCGGCCCTTCATAGTCACTTCAGATAGAATAGTAGGAAATAATAATAGTAATAGACTACACCCCAATTTTCCATCAAGATCATTAATTAAGTTTTATCCCCATAAGTTAAGGACAAAAGAACAATATTTTAGAGATAATCAACCCCCAAAGGAGATAGAAAATGAAAAAGAAAAATTATTTATAATAGCTAATACGTATTATCAGATGAGACATTTTGAAGAAGAAAGTAAAAAATGGAAAATTTATGAACAGGTAGCTAGTCGTAAGGAACAAGAGTTAAATAAGGACGGAGATGATATTTTAATGATAGATACCGAACAGATACCCCAAGCAAGACCCTTTAAAGAACGATACTCAGCAATCCTCAATATGACAGTTAGTGATACAGATAGTCAAAGTAACGAGAATAGTAACAGTGAATATAAGGAAGAATCTAGTGATAGTAACAGCAATAGTGAAACAGAAGAAGAAGATGGAAAGAAAAGAAAGTTAAGAGACACTAGTATATCACCCACATCTAAGGAAAAAATAGATAAGATAGATATAAGAAAAAGAAAAGCCAAACCAAAGAAGCAAAAGACCGCACCCATTGAGAATGACCCAAGAGTCCCTGAAGGTAGTCCAATATTATCAGTTAATGAAAATAGTAGTAAAGAACAAGTAGTACAGAAGAAAACAAGACAAGATACTCCAGTAGATCCAGCAGCGAAAAGACTCCGATTTGGAGCCCATTTCGTAAAACCATCAAGAGTAGCGCCCCGACCCAAACAACAACAAGAGATAGTCACCCAACCTGGAGATGAAGAAGAAGAAGAAGTATTAGCCATTTTACCAAGAACTCCACCAGAATTGCCAGCGCCACCAGTATTAGGCCCAAGACAAAGTACACCACGTACCCCAATAGCACCTCCAAGACCACTTGAATCAAGTCCACAAGCTAAGCCATCAGTACAGATTGAAAATAGAAATAATACAGAAGTAGTTAAGAATAATCAAATTAAGGAACAAGTCACACCAATGGACCAAGAAGTAATAAGATACTCCCCATCAGTTATTTCAAAACATATAGGAAGTTTTAATATAGAATTATTTGATTTTCCAATTATTCCAATTGAGTGTAAGTTCCATTTTAGAATATTTCGACAAACAGCAAATCTTGAGAATATTAAGGCACATAAAGAATATTTAGAAAAGAAACCGAAACAGCAAGAACAAGAATTAGAAAAACAGATGAAACAATTTAGTGCAGATACGCATAGAATAGTAGTAAAATATGTTAAGGATAGTATAGAACCAATAATAGATAGTTTAAAAGATTCAAATAAGAAACGTTTAGATAATTTAATATTAGATCAAATGAAAGAAAAAGCATTAAGAACAATAAGAAGTAAAGGTAATAAGAATAGTTTAGAATTAATAGATAAGGCACAGATGAGATTTGAACGTAATTTACAATTAAAATTCCAATTAGATAAGTTAGACCGAAGACTGAATGAGAATATGCCACCACCAGCTCTAAATATAATGGATAAGTTACAATGTAGAAGTAAAGAATTAAATAAAGAAGTTATAGATCAGTATAGTGAGCAATGGAATAATATTATTCGTAAGACTAAGTTAGATTGAACATCAGTAATGAGAATAGCCAAAGTTACAGAAATAGATAAGAGCGAAAAAGAACATTTAGATTTAGTCGAGAAAATACCAACAGAAATAAGAAAAGCATATAAAGATTTAGTACATACAATAGAAATAAGAAATAATAGAAAGGTACAAAAGAAATTGAATTTTTTAGAGAAAAGAACGATAAGAATAATAGAAAAATAGCCAGAGCAATAGAACGAAATAGTAGAGCTAAGAATTTACACCCACATTATACCCCTCTAGGATTTCCACCTCAAGTAAATAATAAGGTATTAGGACTAACAGATGAAGAAAGAAGAATTTTAAGTTGTGGACCTAAATTTGTACCTGAGAATCCAAAACAAGCTTTAGATAGATTAGAAGAAGAAATTANTGAAAATATAAAGAAGAGGGTGTGGGTGTGGGTGTGGGTGTGAAAGGATGTTAGTGTGTGCAGATGTGAGTTTCTCTTTGTATTATTTTCATACACACCTACGCCCTTCTTGCCATCAACGTCTATGCTACTTTTGGAGCTGTTCCATTCAGGGAAACCACATGAAAGCCGCAAAAACTCGAACTTAAAACTTACACTCACTATTTTCTTCGAAAACATATGTGAGTTCCACAAAATAACCTAAAATGTGAGAAGCATTATTGATTCAGCAGTAAAAAGTTTTTACGTCTTTCATGTGGTTTCCCTGAATGGAACAGTTCCAAAAGTAGCATAGACGTTGATGGCAAGAAGGGCGTAGGTGTGTATGAAAATAATACAAAGAGAAACTCACATCTGCACACACTAACATCCTTTCACACCCACACCCACACCCACACCCTCTTCTTTATATTTTCAGCGTCGTCGATATCCATCAACAACACCAACTACACCAATGACGATAACTGCATTAACAATTAATAATAATATGTATATCCAACAGCAGTACCAGCCTCGTCGAAATTATCAACAACACCAACAACAGAATAGAATAAGGTCAGTAACAACTTCTTATAATAATAATAATAATAATAATAGTACTCAGCCTTTCATAGTAATCTCAGATAGAATAGTAGGAAATAATATTAGTAATAGACAGCATCCTAACTTTCCATCGAGATCTTTAATTAAGTTTTACCCGCATAAGTTAAGGACAAAAGAACAGTATTTTAGAGATAATCAACTCCCTAAAGAGATAGAAAATGAAAAAGAAAAATTATTTATAATAGCTATCACATATTACCAGATGAGACATTTTGAAGAAGAAAGTAAAAAATGGAAAATTTATGAACAAGTAGCTAGTCGTAATGAAAATGAATTACATAGGGATGGAGATGATATTTTAATAATAGATACAGAAGAAATACCACAAGCAAGACCCTTCCGAGAAAGATACTCAGCAATACTCAATATGACAGTCAGTGATACAGATAGTCAGAGCAATGAGAATAGTAATAGCGAGTATAAGGAAGACGCTGGTGAAAGTAACGATAATAGTGAAACAGAAGAAGAAGATGGAAAGAGAAGAATGTTAAGAGACACTGGTATATCATCCACATCTAAGGAAAAGATAGATAAGATAAATATAAGAAAAACAAAACCAAAACCAAAAAAGAAGAACACTATACCCATTGAGAATGACTCAAGAGCCCCAGAAGGTAGTCCAGTATTATTAGTTAGTCATAATAATAGTCTAGAACAGACATCCCAAGTAGTACAGAAGAAGACAAGGCAAGATACTCCAGTAGATCCAACAGCAAAAAGACCCCGATTTGGAGCCCATTTTGTTAAACCACCAAGAGTAGCACCCCGATCCCAACAACAGCAAGAAGTAGTTATCCAGCCTGAAGAAGAAGAAGAAGTATTACCCATCTTACCAAGAACTCCACCAGAATTACCCGCATCACCAGTATTAAGTCCAAGACAGAGTACACCACGAACACCAGTAGCACCGCTAAGATTCCCTTCGGTCGAGTCTACAACCTGAACCATCAGTACAGATTGAGAATAGAAATAATCCACAAGTAGTTGAGAATAATCAGATTAAGGAACAAGTCATACCAGTGGAACAAGAGATAGTGAGAAATTTTCCATCAATTATTTCAAAAGACACATGAAATTTTAATATAGAATTATTTGATTTTTCAATTATTCCAGTTGAGTGTAAGTTTCATTTTAAGATCTTTCATATTAAGGCTAGCATAGAAAGTATAAAAGCACATAGAGTATTTTTAGAAAAGAAATTAAAACGACGAGAAAGAGAATTAGAAGAACTTATGAAACAATTCAAAGAGGATGAACGTAGATCAGTAGTACAATATATTAAGGATAGTATAGAACCAGTAATAGATATTTTAAAAGATTCAAATAAGAAACGTTTAGATCACTTAGTATTGAATCAGATGAAAGAAAAAGCATTAAGAACAATAAGAAATAAAGGTAACAAAGATAGTTTAGAACTTTTGGATAAGGCACAGATAAGATTCGAATGTATGTCACAATTAATATTTCAGTTAGATAAGTTAGATAGAAGATTAAATAAGAATATGCCACCACCTGCATTAAATATTATGGATAAATTATAATTTAGAAGTAAAGAATTAAATCAAGAAGTTATAGATCAATATAGTGACCAATAGAATAATGTTATTCGTAAGGCTAAGTTCGGTTTAACATCAATAATGAGAATGGCTAAAATTACAGAAATAGATAAGAGTAGGAAAAACTATTTAGAATTACTTAAGAAAATACCAACAGAAATAAGAACATCATATAAAGATTTAATACATACAACACAGATTAGAAATGATAGAAAAGTACAAAAGAAATTGAATTTTTTAAAGAAAAGAACATTAAGAATGATAGAAAAAATAGCTAGGACAATAGAAAGAAATAGTAGAGCTAAGAATTTACATCCACATTAAACCCCATTAGGATTTTCACGTCAAGTAAATAATAAAGTATTAGGATTAACAGATGAAGAAAGAAGAATTTTACATTATGGACCCAAATTTGTACCTGAGAATCCAAAACAAGCTTTAGATAGATTACAAGAAGAAATTAGAGTAATGAAAGATAAGGTAGCTGAAGCATGAAGAAGAGAAACATATACGACAGGAAGTAATCCAATTCTAGTAGAATAATTCGCCAATAGATTAGAAGAAGAATTAAGAAATAAGATTAATGAAGGAGTAGCCCGAGACCCAATAATAGAAAAGACCTTAGAACGTTTTCAAAAGGAGCAAAAAAAAATGGTAGTTATTTTCAGACAAACAGATAAATCAATAGTACTCCATATAGATAGGTCTGAGACATATATCCGAAAATCGATAGCTTATATGAAGAAAACAGATGCATATGAAGAGATAGAACAATCTCCATTAAATAGTATGATAGAAAAGACAGAAGAATTATTAAGAAATTTAGTAAGTAGAAAATTTTTACCGGGGAAATATTTTGAGAAATTAAAACCAAACCCTCAAGATGCCGAGTACCCCATCTTTATTATAATCCAAAAGATACCAAGGTAGGAGAACCACTTAGATCAATTGTTTCGGGAATGAAATCACCAACACAAAAAATCTCGGCTTTTCTTGATCAAATTATAAGATCCATTTTTGATTGATTAACTCCACATAGCTTGAGAAATAGTATATAATTTTTACAACATTTGAAAAAATACCGGACAACAGACCAGACTCTTTTATATATAGCTTTGACATAACAGATTTATATCCAATGATACCCCAACAAGAATCAATCTTATCCGTTTGTGAGATGTTAGGTGAAAATAAGATTAATAAGGTTAGTGGAGAAATACCCATCAGTACGATAAGGACCCTATTTAGAGATGTCTTAGAAAATGCCTATTTTGCGTTTCAGTTACAAGGAGAAAAAGTTAAATACTATAAACAGATAAGAGGAAGACCCGGAGGATCCGAATGTACTGAAGTCGTAGCCGATGTTTATATGAGAAAATGGGAAAAACAATTTAGGAATAGCAGAATAAGGAAGGAGAGTTATATTTTAGATTTAGAGATAATATATTCATAAAAACTAGAAAGAATAATAATGAGATGGATAGAATTCTAATAGAATTAAGAAAGAAAGATAAGAATATAGGATTAACTTTTGAGACAGGCCTACATGTAGATTACTTAGATGTAAGAGTTCAAGTAGAAGTTTCCAACTTTAGAACAAAAGTCTATAGAAAGTTAGCGGCTCAGCCTTATATTTTACCATTTAACTCAGCACACCTTCCTCATGTAATGAAAAACATACCATTCTCAGCACTTTTACGAGCAGTAAGAATATGTTCCCATATAGATAATTTAGAAGAAGAAATAGAAAAAGTTAGAATACAACTTCTTTTGAATAAGTACCCCCAAATTTTATAGATAGACATTTTAGAAGATTTTTTGAAACTTTAACAGGGCAGAAAGACACAAAATTACTTCTAAGTGAGAGACATACTGAATTTAGGGAGAACGTCTTAAATATAGAATGGAATAAAAAAGATAAACCCGGGATTAACTGCAATAGAAATATAATGGTCCACTTTACTTAAACTCCCAGCTTAGCACGTTTTGGGTCAAGATTTCATCAAATTTCACAGGAAATGTTTGAGGAAACCCCACTTAGTGATATTCCAATTATTTTTGCCCATAGATTGATAGGGGATTTAAAAAGTATATTAGCTCATAAGAAACCGCCTAAGACAGAGATTAAGACCCTAGTAGAACAACTAGAATAAGGATAGTTTAAGGTAGTAAGATAGTTCCTCTTCCCCCCCTCCCCCCCCCCCTTTTTCGTTTTCTATTATAGATGCGTCAGTAACATCGACGACAACAACGAATGACCTGGTCCTTATATTGTTTTTAGTCCTTCGTTTTGTTTTTCGTTTTCTATGTATATAATTTTTTATAATTGTGTGAATTTTATAATGTGATAGGATTAAGTCTCCCATTGAGCAAGTCTCTACGCCGCACCCACACTATCGAGATTGCGCCGTGTGAGTTAGAATATACTGAGAATATACTCAGAAAAAATAAATATAGAACATAAGGTACGACATCTATCCCCTCCAATGAGAATAGTGGCCTCCAATAAGAGAAAACAATTATCCTATTGAACGAGAGTAAAAGAGAGGAACGAGAGTAGGGAAACAGAAAGGAAAACATAGTCATTCATAGCCTGAAGAAAATTCGAAATGCGTCGCTTCTCAACGTTATTATATTTTGACGTATCGTATTAATTTTGTGGAACTCACATATATTTTCGAAGAAAATAGTGAGTGTAAGTTTTAAGTTCGAGTTTTTGCGGCTTCCCCCTTCCTCCCCTTACAGACCATAGCAACGAAAGAGAACATTACATACACATANCCACGTACCCCAATAGCACCTCCAAGACCACTTGAATCAAGTCCACAAGCTAAGCCATCAGTACAGATTGAAAATAGAAATAATACAGAAGTAGTTAAGAATAATCAAATTGATGAACAAGTCACACCAATGGACCAAGAAGTAATAAGATGCTTCCCATCAGTTATTTCAAAAAATATAGGAAGTTTTAATATAGAATTATTTGATTTTCCAATTATTCCAATTGAGTGCAAGTTTCATTTTAGAATATTTCGACAAACAGCAAATCTTGAGAATATTAAGGTACACAAAGAATATTTAGAAAAGAAATTGAAACAGCAAGAACAAGAATTAGAAGAACATATGAAACAATTTAGTGAAGATACACATAGAATAGTAGTAAATTATGTTAAGGATAGTATAGAACCAATAATAGATATTTTAAAAGATTCAAATAAGAAACGTTTAGATAATTTAATATTAGATCAAATGAAAGAAAAAGCATTAAGAAAAATAAGAAATAAAGGTAATAAGGATAGTTTAGAATTAATAGATAAGGCACAGATGAGATTTGAACGTAATTTACAATTAAAATTCCAATTAGATAAGTTACATCAAAGACTGAATGAGAATATGCCACCACCAGCTCTAAATATAATGGATAAGTTACAATTTCGTAGTAAAGAATTAAGTAAGGAAATCATAGATCAGTATAGTGAGCAATGGAGTAATATTATTCGTAAGACTAAGTTAGATTTAACATCAATAATGAGAATAGCCAAAGTTACAAAAATAGATAAGAGTGAAAAAGAACATTTAGATTTAGTTGAGAAAATACCAACAGATATAAGAATAACATATAAGGATTTAATACATACAATACAGATGAGAAATGATAGAAAAGTACAAAAGAAATTGAATTTTTTAGAGAAAAGAGCGTTAAGAATAATAGAAAAATAGCTAGAGCAATAGAAAGAAATAGTAGAGCTAAGAATTTACACCCACATTATACCCCTCTAGGATTTCCACCTCAAGTAAATAATAAAGTATTAGGATTAACAGATGAAGAAAGAAGAATTTTAAATTATGGACCTAAATTTGTACCTGAGAATCTAAAACAAGCTTTAAATAGATTAGAAGAAGAAATTAGTGTAATGAAGGATAAGGTAGCTGAAGCATGGAGAAGAGAAACACATACGATAGATAAGAATTCAATTCTAGTAGAACAATTTGCCAATAGATTAGAAGAAGAATTAAGAAATAAGATAAATGAAGGAAGAGCACAAGACCTAATAGTAGAAAAAGCCTTAGAACGTTTTCAAAAGGAACAAAAAAAGGGTAAGGTTATTTTCAGACAAACAGATAAATCCAAAGTATTTCATGTAGATAGACCTGAGACATACATCCAGAAATCAATAGCTTATATGAAGAAAACAGATGCTTATGAAGAGATAGAACAATCCCCATTAAATAGTATGATAGAAAAAACAGAAGAATTGTTAAGAAATTTAGTAAATAGAAAATTATTACCCGGGAAATATTTTGAGAAATTAAAACCAAATCCAGCAGATGCCGAGTTACCACATCTTTATTATAATCCAAACGATCATAAAGTAGGAGAACCACTTAGACCAATTGTTTCTGGGATGAAATCACCAACACAAAAAATCTCGGCTTTTCTTGATCAAATTATACGACCCATTTTTGATAAACTAACCCCACATAGTTTAAGAAATAGTATAGAATTTTTAAAACATTTAAAAAAACATGGGACAACAGACCAGACTCTTTTATATACCTTTGACATAACAGATGTATATACAATGATACCCCAACAAGAATCAATCTTAGCCATTTGTGAGATGTTAGGTGAAAATAAGATAAATAAGGTTAATGGAGAGATACCCATCAATACAATAAGGACCCTCTTTAGACATGTTTTAGAAAATGCTTATTTTGCCCTTCAGTTACCCGGACAAGAAGTTAAGTATTATAAACAGATAAGAGGAGGACCCATGGGATCAGAATGTACCCAAGTTTTAGCGGATGTTTATATGAGAAAATGGGAAAAACAATTTAGAGAACAACAGAATAAGGAAGGAGAATTATACTTTAGATTTAGAGATGATATTTTTATAACAACTAAAAAGAATAAGGAAGAGATGGATAAGATATTAATAGAATTAGGAAAGATAGATAAGAATATAGGATTAACATTTGAGACAGGCTCGCATGTAGATTATTTAGATGTAAGAGTTCAAGTAGAAGTACCCAACTTTAGAACGAAAGTCTATAGAAAATTAGCGGCTCAGCCTTATCTTTTACCCTTTAACTCAGCACATCCACCTCATGTAATGAAGAATATTCCCTTCTCAGCACTTTTAAGAGCAGTTAGAATATGTTCCCATAGAGATAATTTAGAAGAAGAAATAGAAAAAGTTAGAATAACCCTTCTTTTGAATAAGTACCCTTCATATTTTATAGATAGACATTTTAAGAGATTTTTTGAGACTTTAACAGGAGAAAAGAATACAAAATTACTTCTAAGCGAGAAACATAAAGAATTTAGAGATAAGGTCTTAGACGAAGAATGGAATAAAAAAGATAAACCCGGGATTAATTTTAGTAGAGATATTATACTCCACTTTACTTATACTCCCAGCTTAGCACGTTTCGGGTCGCGATTTCATCAAATTTGGCAAGAAATTTTTGAGGAAACCCCATTTAGTGATATCCCAGTTATTTTTGCCCATAGATTAACAGATAATTTAAAAAGTATATTAGTTCATAAGAAACCACCTAAGACAGCGATTAAGGCTCTGGTAGAACAGTTAGAATAAGGATAGAGTAAGATATTAAGATGCCCCCTTCCCCCTTTTTCGTTTTTTATTTATAGAATCGTCAATAACATCGACGACAACAACGAAGGATCTGACCCTTATATTGTTTTTAGTTCTTCGTTTTGTTTTTCGTTTTGTCGTTTTTCGTCTTGTTGTTTTGTCATTTTTCGTGATATTATTTTTCGTTACTCGCTTTATATCTAATTTTTTATAACTGTGTTTAAATTTTATATTGTGATAGGGTTGAGTTCCCCATTGAGAAAGTCCCTTTCCCGCACCCACACTATCGAGATTGCGCTGTGAGTTAGAATATACTGAGAAAGTCCCTTTCCCGCACCCACACCATCGAGATTGAGTTGGAATATACTAAGAAAAAGAAGAATAAAATAGAATAGAACGATATCTTTATCCCCCCAATGAGAATATCAGCCACCAATAGAATCGAGAATTTTCCCATTGGATAAGTGTAGAGGACAAGATACGAGAGCAAGGGATAGAGGAATGGAAGAAAAGAATGGATAGTCATTCATAGCCTGAAGAATATTCGAAACGCGTCGCTTATTACAAAATTTACTGTTATTTATTTATTTATTTATTTATTGTTAAAATTAAATAAAATTACATTACAAAAATTAAAAATTATATTAAAATTTATTCAAAAAGAAGTTTGCTCTCGAAAAAATCTCAAAAAAGATTCTTTCTAACCTAAACATAGCCAAAATTCATTTTTTCTCTTTTCTTTATTCATAAAACAGAATTTATTTTCTTTCACTCTCATTTTCAAAAAACAAAAAACAAAAAACATTTATTTATTATTTCACTTATTTATTCAAATATTAACTCAATTATTTTTTGTCTAAAAGCTCTAAATTCTAATTTAACACTTTCATTTTCATATCCATTTTCTTAACCCTTTCAATCCCGTATGTCATCTCGTAGATGCCATGCGTATCGAAATATAGAAATTTTGCGTTCTGTCGTCTTCTTACATGATACATATCATATGTATGTTCAAAGAAATGCGTGTATCCTTCTCTGTGAAAATATTTTTCTTGCACTGAACTAGCGTAGCTAGAATTCGTGTACAGCTGATTATCCAGATGAGAACGCAGGAGAGAGAGAAATCTAGATTTTCTTCAATGTTGTATACAATGAGAGAAAATGACGGGATTGAAAGGGTTAAACAAAAGGATGCTCATTTTTTTCTTTGCTTATTACATATCTAAAAAACGAAAAACAAAACTTATTATTTATTCATTTATTTATTTATCTTTCTCACAAATTCAATATAAACTTATTCAATTTTTCTAAGATAACATTATACTAAGTCATTTTCTTGAAATTCAATAAAATCATTTCATTTCTTTATATAATTCATCTCAAATTTAATATTTTTTCTTAGATTCATCCAAATCCATTTAAATTTTCTTATTTTCATATAAATCATCTCAAATTTAATATTTTCTCTTAAATTCATCTAAATCCATTTAAATCTATTTGAATCTACTCAAATCCATTTAAATTTGTTTAAAATTTCATAAATATAATGAAATCTATTTGAATCTACTCAAATCCATTTAAATTTGTTTAAAATTTCATAAATATAATGAAATTTATTTGAATCAACTCAAATCCATTTACATTTATTTAAAATTTAATAAATATATTTAAATCTATTTCAATTCATTCAACTTGACCCAAATTCAATAAGATTTTCTTTAATTCATCGAAATTCAAAACTTTTCAATAAAATATAGTTAAATCTATTTCAATTGACTCAAATCGATCTAAATTTAATAAAAACTCTCTCAGATTCACCTAAATTCAAAACTTTTCAATAAAAATTCATATACTTATATATTTCTCTCAAATTTCTCTTAAATTTATTTAAAACTAGTTCATCTTTGTTCAAGTTTATATAGAATATAAAAACAAACCAAAAACATTTAAAACTCAATAAAATTTACACCAAAAAAATAAAATATAACATAAAACTAAAACAAAAAAAGATTTATTTATTTATTCTTCATTTATTTAATAAATGTATTTGCTTTCTCTATTTATACATTTAATCATTTATTTATTTATTTATTACTCGGTCTTCTCGTTTTGTTATACCACATGGTTAATTCGAATTTATACTTTAAAATCACACCCACACCCACACCCTCACTCCTCCAAAAAACACGACCGACACCAAAAAAAAATAAGACCTTTGAACTTAGTTATTGAACTTTGGAAGTTATTCTGTTTCTATAAAATATTTCTTTCAAATTAAGTTTTCTAAGGCTATGCAGAGTTAAAGCTACCTGATGAGACCCTTGAGAAAGGTCGAAACTAGTCGTGGCTTTCTTTTTATGATACACACCCACACCGGTCATGGCAGCTTAATCACCAAGGCGATATGTGCTCGAGAGCGTGAGTGAAAGCGAGAGAGATACGGAGACTGAGTCAATCGCAGAGCGAATGAAGATTTTTTTTGAAAATCGAACGTTTTTCGACTTATATCTCGAAGAACATGAAGTGTTCAATCGGTTCGAGTTATCTCCTCGTATTTAATGTCGCTTTTTTCAGCGTTATAGGAAAGAGAATGTTCAATCATATGACAACATTCAATTAGGCATCAAGATTTCTTCGTGTAACTCCCTTCTTAGCACCCACACCAAGGCGATATGTGTTCGAGAGCAAGACATAGAATGAGTTAAATGTAGTGGAAGTGACAAATTTTTCAAATTCGAACGTTTTTCGAGATATGTTTCGATGACCGACGGGATATTCTATGAACTTCTCGCATTTTCGAGCGGGTACTCGTACTTTCATTCAACTAGTTCGAAAGACTTTGAAAAATTTTTAAAATACGTGATGACTTTTCGCCATTTTAAGTTTTTTTCTGATTGTTTTGGTGGCGTTCGAAAGAATGTGCCGAAATAGGAGGATTGTCTCTAGTGAAGTTTTGGATGTTTTGCAGTTGTTAGCGATGAAGAGTGTTTTTTCTTCTTTGAAAATTGAGGACTTTGGGACACATGATCCCGTGTGATCGTTGAGAATGTTTTGTGATGTGTTTTTGGTGGTATTGATGTTGCTTGATGTTCGTTGAGATGTTTGATATGCTTTAGGTTTGTATTGAGGTATGATATTTGACATGTCACGTGACTCATGTTGATCAGTGTTTATGTAAATTTCTCGTATATTTGTAAAGGCAGTGATCGAATTGTTTGAAGGGGTTTTTGTATTAATGGAGGTCGTTAGATTTCTGACGGTGGCTACTGTTTGTCTGAATAGTTATGGGCAATGATGCTAATGTGCCAGCCATGCTTCTGTTTCTTGATTAAAGGTCGCTGCTTCTTTTGTTAGTGCTTTTTGTTTGTGGATGTTTTGTAGTTTTGTCTTTAGTTGTGATTGAGTTATTTTATCGTTTTTTTTTTCTGACGTGATACTGTACCTCCGTTGGTAGTCCTTGAGTTTTAATTGGGTGGTTTGAAATGTTATTCTCTTTTAGTCTATTATTGGAAGATTATTCTTCAAAAAGTTTGAGATAAGGGAATATTATGACTACTAATAGCTAGGATGTTGCCTCGAAAAACTTTGAAATGTAGTAATTCGTAGTAGAAGTGTTTTACTTATAAGATCCTTTGATTATTTGCAATTGATAAATGATTACTTTAGCATTAGTCGAAATATCTGTTGCTAATGCTTGATGGACTTTTCTATAAGTCACTTGCATACACACACCCAGTAGAAGAAGAAGCTCATACACTGTCATTGGAAACTTTTACTTCAGATGCTTTCGGGTGATAGAGGATTAGGTTTTTTCAACAGTTTAACAGTCTTCTTATTATACTTTCGACATTGATATCTGCTAGTGAGAGAGCTATGCATCTTTAAAATCCTTTAATCTTAAGCAACCGATAAGTGATTACTTTCGCGGTAACCGAAACCGATCTTGCTAACTATTGATTGATTTCTTTATAATTCACTTCTATATATATACTCACTACTCGGAGTGTATCTGCTTGGTTTGTAAAGTAGATTTTAGGTGTGATGCTTTGATTCGAACTTTGTTTGGATCTCTTAAGCTGATACTTGTGCCACTTGATAAGATTATTTCAGTAACATCGAAATACCAAAGGCATTATGGTAGCTATAAACACACCCTCTTTTATAATTAAGTAATATTGTAGGGGATTTTTGTTATTACGAATTAATTTCAAACTACTTCAAGACACTGGAGAGTTTGAAACTCTTATGTAAGAATAGATTGTTAACATGACTGATGAGGATCAGATTCAGCCCTGATCGAAACGCGTCGTGTGATGCTCTCAATCTCAAAACTCTATTATAATTAAATTTTCTAATGGTCGATTATTAAAACATTCAGAAATTTCTATACAAAATGGCGAATATAAAAAAATGAAATGTAATCTTTTTTGAAATACTTATTTTTTTTTTATTGTATTAAATCGTTTTATTCATTAAGGTGAAAGATGTTTACAAAAAGGTGGAAAACTTGGTTTATCTGAATATAAAGATGTACGTCAATATTTTTGTGAAGCTTCATCAACACGATTAATATATATCTATATACCAACTGTTTTTGGAAATATAGCAGAAAAAAATATTAATTATTTAAAAACAATGAAGGACTGTACATCAATACATGCTGTTCTTTTTTCATTATATCATGGTGATCTAAATTTGTAAGTTTTAGAAATTGAATTTGAAATAGAACTCTCAATATATGATTTTATTTTGTAGTGCTAAATTAAAAAAATTAAAAAGATCGTTCAAACAACATTTAGAAGAATATGATGAGAATTTAAATAATGTATGTATGCATCTTCTGGATATTTGTTCAGATAAGAAAGATGTACATCAACAAAAAATATGGCTAAGTCCCTATCCACCAAATATGAAATTAAGTAATGTCGAAGAAAAAATTTTGAATAAAATAATTCGACATACAAATAAAATTACTGGTGAAAATGGTTTTAAAACATTTAATCGAAATTATATTTGGGACAAGACTCATGATGATTTATTAATAAAAGGTTCACATTATTTTTCACCACGAGGCATTCGTTTAATTACTCAATTATTTGCTGAAATTATTGGCAAAAAATGGCATCGGACAATGCCTAAATAACTTCTTCTTTTTTTTTTCTTTTTATTTTCTGCCTAAATAAAGTCAATAATATTCATTGAATTAGTTTACAAAGTATGTCTTTCGGGGAGCCCTGGTTGAATGGGATACGTCTCTGACTTGGATCCAGAGCGTATGAGGTTTGATTCCTCCTCCCCGAACAAAGCACACTGTTTAATCATATTGTATAAGCCTACCGGCTATTGTCTTATTGTACAAGCAACATGTCTACACACAACGTATGTTATCTCGGTGGAATGTATGTGCACGTTGGAAGGTCGTGTTTCAATTCTTCGTTGAATGGCCACATAAGACATGCATTATATTCCGCTCTTATCTTTCTCTGATCCGCTTATGCTTGCTTTTCTCTCTTATTTGTAACCTGTTAATTGTAAAAGCTACACTGTCCCTTTAGGACCGACATGGTCGTGGGGTTTCCATTGCTAATAATAATAAAAAAAAAAAGGTATGTCTTTTAGATTTCATAATAAAATGAGAATAAAACGAACACCTGCTTTATCAATCAAGCAAGAAGTCATAGATGTCGAATATGAAAGTGAACGAAGAAATTATAATGAAAAGGTTTTCAAAAAATGTCATATATTTATTCCGGAACGATATCGTAGACGTATGGTACAAACGGGTTTAATACATGAATTTGTGGTATTAATTGATCAAGTTAATAAAGAAGAAGAAGAAGAAAAAAAAGAGTAGAAATTATCATTACGTCGAAAACGCCAATTCAAAAAAACAATCAAAAAAATAAAAAATAAAAATACAAATAAACCACAAAATCATGCTTCAACAAAAACAAAAGCAGCTGATTTTGCACAAATTTAAAAAATAAAAAAAAATTCGAACAATATTTAGCTTCCTCGAAATTTTCTTTTCTTTTTTTTTTGCTTGTTTCATGAAATATTCTAATTAATAAAATACTTCATCTATCACTATTGTAGATTTCATTTATCATTCATATTGAAAATAAACAAAAATGTCAAATGAAAATATCGAACGTCATCTATCTGTCGTACTTATTTCTGATGAAGAAGACAATAAGAATAATGTTCAATTAATAGATGTTCAATGTCAAACATCAACGGCACCATTC